CCCCCCGCCCCGCTTCCTTTTGGATTAAACCCTTTTTTTTGGGGCCCCCAACCACTTATATACCTTTAATTGAGCTGCTAATGTTGGAGGCCCTAAAGAAGGCTCATCGGCCTGAACTTCCTGCTGTGGGGTTTGTCTCTGTCTCTCTTATCTCTGTCTCCTTTGTCTTTGTCTCTGTCTCCTCTGTCTCTGTCTCTCTCTCTGGGTCTTTGCTAATAAAACACATGCTGTAATAAATATATACACATGTTTGTATGTTATAATATATATATATCTAATCTATATATTAATATATATATTAATATATATTTATATATTATATGTACATATATATGCATATTAAATATATATACATATATATATGTATGCATGTTAGTCTATATATTAATATATATATGTATATATATATATATATATAATAGCCACTAGGGCCCAAACATAACCCAAAAAGGTACACAGCCATCCAGCGTCAACAACAAAGAGGAACTGTCTCTGCTGCATGCAGCCCCAAACAAAGCCAAGTAAATTCAAGGGGGTCCCCCCATCAGTTTAAATGAAATAGAGGCCCCCCTGCCAAACCCTAAACCCTAAACCCTAACAGATTCATCAGCCTCTTGCTGGCGATGCAGCGCGCGCTGTAGCTGTACGTACACCCCAGCCTCTAAACCCTAAACCCTAAACCCTAAGCCCTGTGCATGCTATCGCCTTCGGGGGCCCCCAACAAACAAACCCCCAGGGCCCCCCCCCTCTTCAGGCGCATCGGGCTGAGGGTTTGGCGGTGTATAAACCTCAGGCTGGCCTGCAGCACCCGCACCCAGTGCATAACCCTAAACCCTAAACCCTAAACCCTAAGCCTTTCTATACACCTAGGACACAAGCCGGAAGTCTCACCCCTAAACCCTAAACCAGAAACCCTAGGGTTTGTTTGTCTTAAACCCTATGCCCAACCTTGGGACAAAACCCTAAACCCTAATCACCCCAAACCCTAAACCCTAAACCCTTACGCTGTCGCCTGCGACCCCGAGGTGTAGGCATTTCTTCATCAGAGAAGCAGCTGCAAAACGCACAAAAGGAGAAGCAGCTCGCTGCTGCCTTGAGGGTTTAGGGTTTAAGGGTTGAAGCTGCCGGTCGGGGCCTCTGCCATGCCTTAGGGTTTAGGGTTTAGGGTTTAGGGTTTAGGGTTTAGGAAGACCTACGCAGTCTTGTGCCCTCCCAAGCGGAACGCGAGAAGCCCCACAAGCAAAACCAGCTGCAGCAAAATGCAGCAGCAGCAGCAGCAACAGCAACAGCAGCAGCAGCAGCAACAGCAGCAGCAAAGAGGCCGTAGGAGTCGAAAAGGAGACAGACTGGAGACAGGGCAGAGGTAGAGACACTCTACCGGCAGAGAGAACCAAACTCCCACCAAACCCTAAACCCTAAACCCTAAACCCTAAACCCTTGAAGCAAAAAGATATTCACCAAGCCAAAGAAATCCGTCGGCTTTGCAGGAACTGCGCTGTCGCCCTGCACAAAAACCCGACAATTCAAACACTGATCAGGGTTTAGGGTTTAGGGTTTAGGGTTAAGGGTTTAGGGTTAAGGAGACAGTACACCATCGGCTGTACCCTCCGCCTGTGCAGCAGCAGCGGCAGAAGCAGCGACAGCAGCCACAGCAACAGCAGCAACAGCAGCAGCAGCAGCCACCCAACCAAACCCTAAACCCTAAACCCTAAACCCTAAACCCCTTACCACAATGAGCTTCGAGTAGAAGGCCATGGAGGTCAAGGGAAGGCGGACCGTCATTATAAGGAATAAAACAGTCGCCCCACAGTGCTTCAGGACCTGCAGATACACCCTAAACCCTAAACCCTAAACCCTAAACCCTAAACCCTACAATTAACCAGTAAACCCTAAACCTTAAACCCTAAACCCCCTAAACCCACCAGCATGGAGCAGACGTTGTATATCAAGTTGAAGATAATATACACTGCGACTTCAACCTGAGAACCCCACCCACACCCTAAACCCTAAACCCTAAACCCTAAACCTTAAACCCTCAAGTTTGAACCATAATACCTGAGGCTAGCGAGAAAGGATCTAGGGTTAAGGGTTTCCAAACTAGGGTTTAGGGTTTAGGGTTTAGGGTTTAGGGTTTAGGGTTTACCCAAGCCCCCTGACAAGAGTCGCAGGCCAAGCCCATGTCCGGGCCACAGACCTGCGGAGACACCCCAAACCCCCAAGCAAACAAAACCCTGAAAAGAGAAAATAAATTAAATAAATGCAATTAAAATAAATAAAAAGATATACAAATATATATCTATAAGCAGAAACTTAAAGAAAAAAGATATATACACAAACATACATAAGTACATATACATAAAAAGAGAAGCAAAAACAGACAAAGACAAATAAATATAAATAAATATAAATAAATATAAATAAATATAAATAAATATAAATAAATATAAATAAGTATAAATAAGTATAAATAAATATAAATAAGTATAAATATATAAGTGTATTTAATCAATATAAAAAGGCATACAAATAAACATAAATACACATAAATATAAATATATATTTAGTTGTCTTCGTTATAAACAAACACAAATAAAAGTAAATATAAATAAAAGTAAAGACACATAAAGACATAAATAAATAAATAAATTAAATAAATAAATAAATATATATATATATATACAAACAAAAACAAAAATAAAAACAAACGCCAAACAAACACAACGCAGAGGAGACAGAAAAATAAAGACAGACAAAGAGAGACAGATAGATAGATGGATAGATAGATATATAGATATGTATATATATAATATATATTTATATATAAGCTTAAATATATGCATATATATATATAAACACAAACATATATATATATATGTATACCCAGAGCGAGAAAGACTGAGACAGAAAAAGAGACGGACGAAAATAGATATATATATATATATATGTATATATGTATATATATGTGTGTATATACATAAATATATATATATATATATATAGATATAGACAAATAATACATATACAGAGACAGACAGACAGACAGAGACAGAGAAACAGATAGAGAGAAAAGGAGACAGAAGAAATGGAGGAGACACAACCCGCGAGAGACAGAGACAAACGCACAGACAAACACAAAACAAAACAGAGACGACGGAGACTAAGAAGAGACAGCAAATAAAATAAAGAAGAGACAGCAAATAAAATGAGAAGAGACAGCAAATAAAATAAAGAAGAGACAGCAAATAAATTAAAGAAGAGACAGCAAATAAAATGAAGAAGAGACAGCAAATAAAAAGAGAAGAGACAGCAAATAAAATAAAGAAGAGACAGCAAATAAAATAAAGAAGAGACATCTTTAATTTGCTTACAGGAGGCACGATGATATTAACTCCGAGGAGACAGCGGCCCCCATCTACCAGGCGTCTCCACAACTCATTCAGAGGCACAACTTCTAAACAAAAGAGACAAGCAGCAAACAGCAGCAGCAGCAGCAGCAGCAGTAGCAGCAGCAGCAGAAGCACAAAGGAGACAGATGCAGTAGCAGCAGTAGTAGCAGCAACAAAAAGAAGAGAAATACAGTAGCAGCAGCAGCAGCAGCAGCAGCAGCACAAAGGAGACAAATGCAACAGCAGCAGCAGTTGCAGCAGCAAAGAAGAGACAGATGCAGAAGCAGCAGGAGATGGATAGCACAAGGAGACAGCAGCAGCAGCAAGAGGAGACAGAAGCAGCAGCAAAAGGAGACAGCAGCAGCAAACGCAACGCCACTCTAAACTGGAAGAACGAGATGAAGAGAAGAAGAGACAAAGCTTCGCGAACCCTAAACCCTAAACCCTAAACCCTAAACCCTCGATGTATGCGTATTCACTGGTTCTGCCGAGTTTATGATTTAGGGTTTGTGGGTGATTAGGGTTTAGGGTTTAGGGTTTACCTTGACCGAGGAGAGGCAACGAAGTGAGGGGCAGCAGAGCAAAACCAACAAAAAACTGAAAGAGAGCCACCCAAAACTGTAGAAAAGAAGTGTTCATCTGAACGCCTCGAAATGCAATCTCCTTCACTACGTAAGACAGACTGCTGGGCTGTACATACACCCCACACAAACACACACCAGCCCCACAAATCCGTGCATGCGTCAATCTATGCATGCACAAATGCATGCATGCATGCATGCAGTGTATATAAATGCATGCATGCATTAAAATTTGGATTAAGACATAGCGAATTCGGAGGTATACTAATAATCAGAGACGAGCTTAGGGTTTAGGGAAGACAGACTGCTGGGCTGTACATACACCCCACACAAACACACACCAGCCCCACAAATCCATGCATGCGTCAATCTATGCATGCACAAATGCATGCATACATGCAGTTTATATTTAATGCATGCATGCATTAAAATTTGGATTAAGACATAGCAAATTCGGAGGTATACTAATATTCAGAGAAGAGCTTAGGGTTTAGGGTTTAGGGTTTAGAGAGGAAGAGCACAAGAGCGTGTTATATGCAAAGAGGCCTTCAAAAGGTGCCCCTAGACAATCTGTAGGGTTTAGGGTTTAGGGTTTAGGGTTTAGGGACTAGGGTTTAGGTCGCTCATGTGAGGGTTCAGGGATTCGGTAGGGTTTAGGGGGCCAACCCTAAACCCTAAACCCTGAACCCTAGATGATCAGGACAGAGGGGTTTTGAGGAGTGCCGGCCAACACTTTCGTAGCACCGCCTGCCCCATTGTAAACCCGTAAACCCTAAACCCTAAACCCTAAACCCTAAACCCTAAACCCTAGAATTACCCGAAGTGTGAACGCCTCCAACAACTGCCATAATGCCACAAACACCATCAAGACACCCCATGAGGGCGAAGTTCTTTTTGGGGAAGCTGAGCACTTCCTGAAGACAGAAAGACATCAAACCCTAAACCCTAAACCCTAAACCCTAAACCCTAAACCCTAAACCCTAAACACTAAACCCTAATATGCAAAGGCCAAACCCTACTCTGCGGCCCCGCATGACCTCATCATGGGCTTGCTGGGCAGTTGCATTACTGCAGCTCTGAATCCCAACCCCCAAACCCTAAACCCTAAACCCTAAACCCTAAACCCTTGCCTGAGAGAGCTTGCCCACGGAGTACTGATATAAACACAAGGCCGCGAAGATAGGAATGAAGACAAAATTTGTTAGTTGGTTTAAAAACCCCGAGTAGTTGGGCATCTTATCCAGCATGCGCCTAAACAGCAAACCCCAAACCCCAAACCCTAAACCCTAAACCCTAAACCCTAAACCCTTAACTCTAAACCCTGAAACGCCCAGACCCTAGAAACCCGAAACCGTCATAAAAACTCTAAACCCTATCCCCTAAAAACGTAAAACCCCAAACCCTCAAACCCCTATACTAACAGGCTCTATACCGTGAAGACCCTAAACCCTAAACCCTAAACCCTAAACCCTCCCTGATGGTGCGCCCACTCACTTGAAGCTAATTGTATTTCCTGTGGAGGCGATGAGGAGACCAGCAGTATAAAGAAGAATTTTTAATTGTCTCTCGTTTTGACGTATGGAGAAGATAAGAAAACGCAAGCCTAAGGAGGCTCGCCTCTTTGCTAAGCTGCTGTATCTGTGCATACACTGCAGAACCCTCTTTGTCCTACGCACCCACTCGTTGGACGACCCCGCACGAACCCTCATTTCTTCTCCTTCATCAGCGCTGCTAGCAGATTCGCCATCTGTCAGGTGTACGTACACCTCGCTATCTGCTGCTGCTGCTGATGCAGCAGCAGCAGCAGCAGAAGAAAACCCAGTAGAGCGATGGGGGGCCCCCCGAGGGCCCCTAAGGCTAAGTGAACCCTCTACAGGCCTCCTGGAGCTTATGTGGGGCCCCACACCCTCTACAGACACTGCTGAGTGTAGGGGGGCCCCCCCCTTGTGGCTCCTTGCTGCTGCTGGTTTACCCTGGGGGCCCCATGGGGGCCCCCTTGGGCCCCCCATCTGAGAAGAAGGATATGGAGGAGGGGCCCATGAGGGGCTGCAGTCTCGACGAGACGAATCATCAGTAGTTGAAATAGAAGGAGAGGCCCCTCTAACAACATCAGGATTAGGGGCCCCCCGACCGCTGCTGCTGCCCTGGTGGGGCCCCTGAGGAGATGTAGAGGGGCCCTTTGGGGGCCCCCCTGATGGAGAGACCATAGGGGTTGATGCTGCTGCTATCGAGAAGGATGCGCCCGTAAGTGCAGCAGCAGCAGCAGCAGCAGCAGAGGTTTAGTTAGCGTTACGTACAGCTGGGGTTTAGGTTTGTTAGGAGTTAATAAAAGACCTCTCTGCTTCTATTAATGCAGAAATAAGATTCTAATGAGGCCCCAAACAAAGAAGAACGAAGATATAACGTAAAAGGGAGAGAAAACCCCTGTGTGCATGCAAGCCAGGCAGGGTCTATCTGAGTGCAGCAGTTGTGCTGCTGCAGGTATAAAAGGAACGAAATAAAGTATTTAATAGACAAAAAACAAACAAACAAAGACAAAATAATATATAAAAAAAGAACTCGAGCTGTACATACACCTCAGCGAGAACAGTCAAGCCCTATGAATACCGTAGGGAGGCGATGGGTCTGAGTTTGTTGCTTTCTGGATCAAAAAAATAAATAAAACCCTTTAAAATATAATTTAAATTAATAAAATAGTTTAAATAACTTTATTTTTCTTCTTTTTTCAATTAAAACCCCCACACCTCGTGTTTTCATAGACACCCGGTGAGTCCATTGGTGTTACACTCTGCTTTTTTCTTCGTTTTTCTTCTTCTTCTACTGTCTTCTTCTCCTTTAATTGCAGCAAAAGAAGTCCTTTTAGGGCCCCTTTTATATATATTCATCTATAATATCAATAATGCATGCAAAATGTTAATTTTTATTAAAAATTATTACGTACATATAC